TGCTCTCTCCCCAGGTTGCCTGTCCCAGCCAAGGAGTGCATCCTGAATGTCACCTGCCTCGATGGCAGCCCGTGTGAGGGTGGCTCTCCCACTGCCAACTGCAGCTGCCTGGAGGGTCTTGCTGGCCAGAGGTGGGTCTGGGGGCCTGGGAACGGTGAGGGAGTCCAACGAGTGTGAAGGGCTATTCCTCCAGCCAGGGTGGGGTGGGGGTCCTTGCCCACCTTCTCACCCCTCCCTGGTATCACAGTCACCATTGTCACTTGAGTTTCCTTCCATGTCTTCCAAGACCATCCTCTGTGATACAGACCTGGTAGCAGTCATGGGAACAGCCTCAGCCCGCTTGTGGGAGACCGTAAAATTGCAGATTCTGGGCCCTGCAGACAGTGGCGTCAGCTCCCGGGGCACCTGCCTTCACACAGGCTCCCCAGCCACTCTAATGGGAGGAGAGTCCTTCTCAGTTATGGCTGCTCGGGTGGTCACCTGGCAGGGCCCAGCTGGGCAGGAGCAGCGCATGGGGGCAGTGAATGGATAAGCTCTGATGCTTGCTGAAGGGGGGGGGTGGGCAGCAGAGCAGCTGGGAGCACAAGAGGCAGCCATGGGGGAGCCGCTTCTCAGCCCCCCTCCTTCTCCAGGTGTCAGGTCCCCGCCCTCCCCTGTGAAACCAACCCCTGCTTGAATGGGGGCACCTGCCGGGCAGCTGGAGGGGTGTCTGAATGTATCTGCAATGCCAGATTCTCCGGCCAGTTCTGTGAAGTGGTGGTGAGTGTTGCCGGGGTGAGGGGCTGTGGACGTGGCCTGCTGGGCCCTTGGTGAGCTGATGCTGCTGGGGAGAGCAGAGCACCGTGGTGCTGTTCCTGGGCCACTCTGTCATGGGGTGGGGCAGTGAGAGGAGCCTCAGGTCCTTTCCACACCCCCCACACAGGAGGTATTTCCACGCCAGGGAGAGCTTTGGGGGCTGCCACCATCTATTGACAAGAGCACAAAGCTCCTGGCTGGGTCAGGGGCTTCCCCAGAGTGCCCAGGGCAGTGGCAGTGAGTACAGGTGGTCTCTGCCAATCCAACCAGGACTCAGGGCCAAGAGGATGTTGGTGTTCTGGGATTTAGGTTGGTGAATCCAGGAGACTGAGTTGGAAGACCCGGGGCGAGGGGGGGTGGCCTGGGAGTCTGTACCGGGGCAGGCTCGGCCACTGTGCAGGCTGGCCCCAACCCCAGGGGGCTCAGCCCGGGAGGAGCCTGGACAGACAAAGTCGAAGGCGAAGGCGGCAGGGGCTGGAGCTGTGACCCTCCCTGACACACCCCTTCCTCGGGGTGGGGGCGGTGGGGGGAAGGTGGGTGCTGGTGAGGAGGGGCTTGGAAGGGTAGTCTGGGGAACAGCCTTGATCTCCACAGGCCTCTGGCAGCCTGGGCCATAAACCACAAATCCCCTCCGCTTATGGGGAATGTTTCCTTTCAAGTTGAACTTTTACAGCCTCTGGCTTCCCCACCCAGCCACCTCCCAGGGCAGGGGAAGGAAATGGCTTTACAGCTCCTCCCCTAAAATGTTCAGGGGTGGAGGCTGGCAGGGCCCTCTCAGGACAGAGGGACTTTCCTCTCTAGTTTTAGGACCCAGGTCACAGCGGGCTGAGAAGCCTGGAGGTACAGAGGGAGGCTGGTGAGTCCCAGAGCTTGTGCCTCTGGAATCCTCGCATCCTGGGACTTCAGAGTCCCAGGCATGTAGAGGCTTTGATGGGGCATCCTGGGAGCCTGTGACTGGAGACAGCAAGGAGGTTTGCTGGGCCCCCTGAAGCCTGGGCCAGGGCTTGCAGGGACAAGCTGTCAGAACAGTCCCCTGCTCCCTGTGCCACCCCGCCCCGGCAGGCAGGCCCCAGTGGATTCTGACTTGGCTGTTGTGGCAGGGGGCCGCTCAGTCTGCCCCAGCTCCCGCTCTGCCTCATCTCACTCTCGTAGGCTTTTGTGAAACCCACGCACCCTGCTTAGCTCCTGCTGGGTGTCCGTCTCTGTCCTTCTAGCCAGAACTCCTTTGTTGTACAGGACTCCCCGAGCAGTGGCTCTGACAGGTGGTTTCCTGGCACTTGCCTGTACACCCCTGGGGCTGGGTCTTCACCGCTCCCAGGGCAGCCTGCTCCCAGCTCTGATTTTCTCTGAGCAGGTCCTTGTGCTGCTGAGGGCCCAGGGTCCTCCCCTTCTCTGTGGTCTTAGGCCTCGGTGTTGTGTCTCTTGCAGAAGGGCGTGCCCCTGCCGTTGCCATTCCCGCTGCTGGAGGTGGCTGTGCCTGCAGCCTGTGCCTGCCTCCTCCTCCTCCTCCTGGGCCTCCTTTCAGGGATCCTGGCAGCCCGAAAGCGCCGCCAGTCCGAGGGCACCTACAGCCCAAGCCAGCAGGAGGTGGCTGGGGCCCGGCTGGAGATGGACAGTGTCCTCAAGGTGCCGCCAGAGGAGAGACTCATCTAGGCCAGCCTGGCTGCCGGCACCAGCACCTGGAGGTCCTGAATGGTTTCTACCTGGAGACCCAAGGAAGCTGCTGCCAGGGCTCAGGACACTGCTATGGAAGTGTCCCCTTGGCTGGCAGCCTCTGCCTCTGCCCCATCGTGGATGGAGGATGAGGGGAGCAACTCAGGGAAACAGAGGCCTAGAGAGGCTGCGGACTTCATCCCACCCTCGGGGTTGTGCCTTGGCAGGTGTACGGCTGTGCGTGGGAGGGCACATGTGGGTGCACACAGTATGTGTATCTGGAGCAGTGTGTGTCTGAGTGTGTACCTGGGCCCGTGTTAGTCTACAGATGCTAGTGTGAGTGTGTCCTGACAGGGCTCCAGGGCGTGTCTGCTGCGTTTGCTGTGTGTCTATGACTGTGATGGGTGTGGCTGATCTCAGGAGGCGGTGGCTGCTCCATGGGGTCAACCATTACAGTCCTGGGGCAGGGGCAGCCTAAGGCTGCATGTTCTCCAGGAGGCCAGGCCAGGGTTGCCCAGGCACCAAGGCCAGGGCTCCTGCCTCCTTCCCCACCTCTGGGGGCTGCTCCTGCCGCGGAGACAGCTGGGAAGTCAGGGGAGGCCACTGGCAGAGGCCGAGTGGGCTTCTGGCTCCTAGAACAAACGTCCCTTCAGGCAGGTCTGTCTGCCAGAAGCCAGAGCCAGTCATGCGAGGGAACCACAGACCCACCCGCCCCCTCAGCCGGAGCAGCCCAAGGGAGCAGAGGACGGGCTGCCTTGAGCTTCGCACCCTGCTGTGGTCATTTGTCAAAGGGGGAAGGCACCCACCCCCTACCTCACAGGGCTGTTGTGAGGATCGGAGAGGATGACAGTGGGGAGAGAATCTGGACGTCGTCAACTCCTGTCTGATGGGAAGGATCGTCTGCATGTCCTTCTGGGATAAGGATGACAGAGCAACCCTTCTCCTGCCCCAAACGCCCCCAGCTCACCCAACCACCTCTGGGTCTCCAGCTCCGGTCCTCCCTGGCAGCCTGGCGAGCGAGCTCCTTCCCCTGATGACTGGTTGCCTCTACACAGATTCGGCGAGAGGACTCGAAGGAAGCCCTCTGGGGTGTCTGCTGAGTGGAGGAGCTCAGTGAACACTGGCGCTGCCTCTGTGTCGGGGCTGGGCCTGCAGAGGCAGACTGGGGGGAGACTGCTGCTTGCCCCCAGCCCCTTCCCCGGCGATGCCCATCACACTGTGACCTCCGATCCCTGAAGGGCACTTGCCTAAGGGCCTGGCCTCCTTCCAGCTTCATGGACCTGGAGATGTGCCCTTTCGTCCTTCCTGCTTCTCAGGCCAGGAGATCCGTTTACACTTTTGGGTCGACAGTCAGCTTTTCCTTTCGGTTTCGGCGAGTCCCAGAGGCATGGGTGTCCAATCCAAGGTGGAACCACGTGACAACTTGGGGGACTGGGACATGGGACTGGGAAGTCAGCAGAGGCTGGGATAGAGAGGGCCCTGAACGCCAGGCTCAGGGGCTTGCCTGGTCCTTATCCTGCAGGAGGTGGAACCACTTTTCCCTGAACTTTCTCTACAACCCTTGGGAACAGGGGGACGAGGCATCCGGTTCCCTTGCCTTAGCCGGTTCCAGGGTCAGTTTACTGAGTTAGGGATTTGGAACACCTGTGTCAGCTGTGACTCCTAGGATTATTTTATGTGGAACCCCAACATGTAGATGAAAGCTGGCTGTGCCCTCTCTTCCTGGCTCCTATTGCTTCAGGAGGCTGGTTTTTTGTTTGTTTTTTTGAGACGGAGTCTCACTCTGTCACCCAGGCTGGAGTGCAGTGGCGCGATCTCGGCTCACTGCAACCTCCGCCTCCTGGGTTCAAGCAATTTCCTGCCTCAGCCTCTGGAGTAGCTGGGATTACAGGTGCCCGCTTTTAGTAGAGAAGGGGTTTCACCATCTTGACCATGCTGGTCTTGAACTCCCGACCTCGTGATCTACCTGCCCCGGCCTCCCAAAGTGTTGGGATTACAGGTATGAGCCACTGTGCCTGGCCTGGGTGCCTGTCGTTCAGGCCTGTCAGTCCTGCAGGGGAGAGCATGGGCAGATGCTGGGCGAGTTGGAGGGGGTGGGTGGTGTGACTAGGCATGTTTCACACTATGGGTGGTCGATTGGTCTGCATTTCCACCCCCTCCAAATACCAGCGTCCAACAGAGGCAGATGCCCAGGCTCTGTTCTTGCTAATGAGAGACCTGTGGGGCGACTTGCCAGGTGTCCCCTTGAATGCTTTCCTGGCTCCTGGGTGCCCTCAACATCGTTGGTGGCCTGCAGTCTGCCCCATGGCCCCAGCAGGGCTGAGCAGGCCTGTTGCCAGCCCAACCCCGTGCCTGGTCTATGAGGGGCAGAACATGAGCTGGCTTAGAGCCCTGAGTGGCCACCGGCTTGGGCGGGTGCGGGGAATTGACTCCTTCCCTAACTGCGCCACGCCCGGTCCCCGCCTCTACAGGAGCTGGTGGTGAGGATGGCTTCAGGCCCACGCGGGGCCTCCCCCACCCCAAAAGCTTCAAGGACACGGGGAATGCCAGCCTCTTCCCCAAGATGATTTTATTGAATGCACACAAAGTTCATCCTTGGGTTTGCAAAGTCAGTCCCACAAGTGAAGAGGCAGCAGTGCTCATGTGAACATGGAGCGCTCACCCCAGTCCCCCAGCACAGCCAGGGGGCCTTGGGGTACACACCCTCCTTCCCTGGGGCTGCCAGCGCCGCCTCTGCCCTATCCCGGATGGGGCCTGGGGATCTGCCCAGGGAGTGAAACTGGAATCTCTGTGAAACACCTAAGTGCCCAGGAGGTGCCTCCATGGCCCAGCAGTGACACGGCTCCCCAAGCAGCCAGAGCCCATTCCTGAGCCAGACAGGTCACGGTTGGCCCAGGAAAAGCCATGTGCCAGGACGGCCACCAAGCCTCCCTGACCATGTGCAGCAGTGGTGGCCTCTTAGACACAGAGGGGGCTCCCTGGGTGACAGAGCTCCAGAGACCCCCCCTTTTGTCCCCCTCAGACACCCCTGGGTAGACTGTGTGTCTGACCCATCCCGAATAGGAAATGAGAGCTCGGGTCGAAATGCTCACAATTTCCTGCGTGTCTCTGATGGCTGTTTTCTTAAATGGTCGGGGCATACTTTAACTTGGTTTATGGAAATGAATCAATTTCAAGACTCATCAAATCAATAAGGCAAAAAGGAAAAAGATAAACAATAAAACATTCACTCTAACTTTGGTGACGGTGGCCTCAGGAATTTCTGTGCTGGCCTGGCGCTCTGGGCAGGTGGGGAGGGACTGGCTTCTAGCCCTTCTCCTGCTTCTCTGAGGCAGAGACCACGTTTGTCCTTTCTACCCGGCTCTGGAGCAGGGGCTCAGGGCCACTGCCTCGTTCCAACCCAGGAAGGCCAGCTGCCTCCGCATCAGTCTGAGGCATTCCGCTCGACCTTCGAGTTGAAATCTGGGTCGCAGCTTCTCGGCTTTGCCCACAAAGCTCCAGATGACAAGAGGCTGAGACCCAGCTTTGACAGTGAGAAGAGAACCTGGAGGTATTAGAGTGCCAGAGAGTTGGATGAGGGGTGGGGGATTCCCCCCAAAACACTCAGATAGGGTTTCTATTTTCCTTCTAGAAATCAATGTTGCTGGTGCTCGCAGTCCCCGTGCAGGGTGGCTGGGGCTGGGCATCACAAGGCAGTCCAGACCCCCTGGTCCCCAGACCCTCCCAGGTCAGAATCAACTGAAGTTTTGGGGTGAAGACACAGGAAAGAACGTGTGTGTATATTGCTAGAAACAGTCTGGAAGCGCCCCACCAGGTAAATCCTCCAGCCCAGGAGGAGTCCTAACTTCAACCCCAAGCCGCCTCTGTCTCATGCAGAGGAGCTCACACTGGAGGGTAACCCTGCCACTTGTGTCCGAGGTGGGCGTGCAGGGCCTGGCTGTGGTGGAACAGGAGAGCTGGGCTCAGAGGTTAGGCCTTCGGAGCCTCTCGGGACACTTCCAGGGGGAAGGTGGGTAGGACTTGGTCTGGGGCAATCATTGGCCCAGCTGACCTCTTTAGTGCAAAACCCAATCAAGGGTGCCGAGGACGGGCAACCGCGGGGTGGGACGGGCACTCAGGAACTGGGTTGATTCCCAGACTGGAACTGGTACCATTCTGCAGGGCCAGACCTCAGAGATGGGCAGTGTGGAGGGGAGGAGGGGGCAGCAGAGAGGGGTCCCATCCCTTCCCACCAGCAGAACCTGGGCAGAGAGCGTGGCGGGGGACCCTCGGAACCGCAGCAGTGGACGGACCCTCGGGCCTCGGTGCATCCCCTGCCCTCAGGGCCTGGCTCACTCGAAGGTCTCCCACTGCTTCCTGAGCTGCTCCACCGAGTCTGGGGCCGGGGCCGGGGCCGGGGCCAGGACCGGACTTGGGCTCACGTCTTGCTTAGTTTTCTGTAACAAATCCTCAAAGGGGTCTCTGGCCTGTTGAGGAGCAGAGGGCCGCAGTGTTGGCTCCAGGCCTTGGGGGGGCCTGGGAGGCAGAAGCGGGGGGTCTCCAGGCCTCAGGGCCAGCCCCTGCTTGGCCTCAGCAGCTCTGGCACTTGAGCGGGCCAGGGGCAACGTTCGGATCCTCGATGGGGCAACTGCTGGGGGACCCAGTGGCTGTAGGGGGCTTGTGTGGGTGCCCATGGGCATCTGGCCAAAGAGGTTGGGCATGGAGAGGGCAGAGAGGTTGGGCTGAGACCTGTGAGGGGCACAGAAGCCAGCACTGGACAGCAGGAGGCCGGACGCAAAAGCCGGCCCCAGGGAAGCTGGAGGGACCCCAAAAGGCCCCGCTGGTGTGGAGACCAGGGACAGGGTTGGTGGGGCTGCTGGCATGGATGGGACGAAGGGGTTGAGTGGTGGCTGTGGGAATGGGGCAGGTGTCCCCGCAGGGGGGAAGTTGAATTGGGGGGTGAATGGGGTGGCTACATTCGGGGTGACATGGTGTGGCGGGAGGGTGCTGCCTGACCAGGCTGTGCTGAGCGGGTCCAGAAGCGCGAGCAGGGCATCACTGCTCGTGCCTGCAGCCCCGGGGCTGGGGCTGAGTGGCTGGAGCAGTTCAGTGGGACCTTGGGGGACACCACCAGGGAGGAGCCCTGGACTCAGGGCAGCTCGCCTGTCCCGATCCACCTGCAGCCGCTCTGAGAAGTCACCAAGTGCGGTGCCGGCAGCCTGGAGCTTGGCCGGGCGGGGAATGGGTGGTGGAGGCACGATGCCCAGCTCTGGGGTCTTCCTGCCTTGGGGCCGGGGGATGGTGATGCTGCCCAGAGTAGGGGTGGGCACCTCCTCCTTGTCACTGGGGTTCAGGATGCTGTCCTGGTTCTGGGGCCTTCGAGGCAGGGCCAGGGAGTTCCCGAGCAGGGCTGGGGGCTTCTCAGGGGAGGCAGCTGGGGGCTTGCTGGGGATGGCCATGTCGTCCTGGCCCAGGCTCCAGAGCTTGTTGTATGGGTGAGTAAGCTTCAAGGCCACTGTCACCCCGCGGCTCCTCTCACTCCCGCCCAGGTCCAGCCTCTGTTGGGAGGGAAGGAGGGCGGCAGTGACCACAGGCTGAGTTGGGACATATCTGTGCCCATTCCCACACCACTCCTGTGTGCTGAATGCGTGTTGGGCCTAGGTGTGTGGCTGATTAGCTCCTCGGATTTGGAACAGCTGGGGACTCCCCCAGGTTACCAGCAGAGGACCCAGGTGTGCTGGGACTCTAAGCCTGTGCTCTGGGAACTCAAGAGAAAGCTCTCGTCCCTTTACACCAGTGGTGGTTGCCAAGGAGTTTTAGGAAAGTGACTCCAGCTACCCGCTGGCCCTTTTTACTTTTTAGATTGCAGGCACCTGCAATCACCTGTAAGCCTGGGAGGGTGAGTAAGACTCAGGGCCTGGTAGAAGGCACCTTGGCTGGGGAGAAAGGAGGAGGCCAAGTTGGAGTCCTGGCTCTGCCACTTGTAAGCCACATGGCCCGGGCACCAGTCCCCTTCTCCTGGCCTAGGTCCTCGTTCCCAGCAGGGAACACTCATGAATGACTGGAGCTCTGTGAACCCCACAGTGTGACCCAGTGATGCAAAGTCAGAAGCCCCCACTTGCAAGTAAAGAAACTGAGGCACCGAGAAGGGATGTGATGGATTGGACATCACAATGGGAATTACATACTGATTTGCATTCATAATGCAGAACCAAGAACTTTCATCCAAAGGCTCTGCCAAGGAGCCCTGGCAGGGATGGATGCAATCCCAGTTCCCGCAGGGGCTGCAGCCCCTCTGGAGGTGCAAGGAGAGTGGCTGGCAGCACCCGCCCCCTCGTCTGATGCACACACAAGGTGGGGCAAGTTTCCATCAGGCTCTAGCATCTTCTCCTACCGTCACTGTTAGGGTGGTGTGGGCCCCGGCACCCTGGGAGGGGTTTACAGTCACACTGACCCTAAGTGTTGGCTGAGGGCCTTGGAAAGTCACTGTTTCTCTGTTAGTCTCTTCCACTGTCACATGGGGGTCTGTGGACAGTGCGGGCCCGGCAGATCCCCTCCCTTCCCTATGCCATACCTGATAGTCAAAGGTCCCTGGCTGTTCCCTCAGGTCTTTGGGGGCACGAAGGTCCTCCAAGCTCTTGGCCTGGCCCAGTGGCTGCAATACGGCCTCCATGTCCAGGTTGTTGAAGACGTCTTCCAGAAGGTCGATGCTGGCAGCCCGGTCAGTGGGAGCTGGGACGGGGCCTGCGGGTTTCCGCACTTGCTGCTCTGGACTCTCTGCCTCGTCGCCTTCCGCACTGTCTGACTCCTTGAGTGTCCGATACGGCTGTGGCCTGCGGGGAGACAGAGTAGGCTGGAATCTCCCAGCCAGGCCTTCAGGGGAGGAGCAAGCGGCCTCCAGCCCAAGCACATTGAGGGCTTGAGGGGTGCACGCAGGAGCCTTCGGGACAGGAGCGTGTCCCAGGGTCTCCGTGAGGGCAGGAGTCTGGGAGGCTGCGAGGGTGCAAGCTGGGCACGCCAATGGGCCTGGGGGTATGAACAGGGGCAAGTCGCTTTGGCTCTCACGTGCACGGAGGAGACCCATTTAGTGCCCCTCCCAAACTACAGGTCCTTTCCTAAAACTAGCTAGTGGGCTTGTGAGCCATTCAGACAAGGTATGAGGAACAGACAGGACTGGAAGGGGGCTCACAGGCTAGCAGTCATGCTCCTCTTACTCCCGTCCTGCTCTGCTGTTTGGTAGCCTAGGCACAGCCACAGTCAGGTTCTGTGAACAGCTCATGGGGAACTGTCTGGGCCTCAGCTTGCCCTGCTAAGCTTGGTTCCAGCTCTGGTCATGCTATTTCTTGCTGTGGGACCTTGGCAGGTCACTTAACTCTCTGAGCCTCAGGCGCTCAGGTGGTGGTGGTGGTGGTTACATGAGCAAATGCGGTGCCCGGCACACAGCAGACATGCAGAGGTTGGTTACAGCATCCAGCGCCCACCAGTGAGCATGGCTGTCACACGGGCTCTTCTGCTAACAGCTTTCTATACTTTTACACATCAAAACCTTGCAGCCATTGGCTGGGCGTGGTGGCTCACGCCTGTAATCCCAGCACTTTGGGAGGCTGAGGTGGGCGGATCACTTGAGGTCAGGAGTTCGAGACCAGCCTGGCCAACATGGTGAAACCCTGTCCCTACTAAAATTACAAAATTTTGCGGGGTGTGGTGGTGCATGCCTGTAGTCTCAGCTACTCGGGTGGCTGAGGCATGGGAATTGCTTGAACCTGGGAGATGGAGGTTGCAGTGAGCCAAGATCACAACACTGCATTCCAGCCTGGGCGACAGAGCAAGACCCTGTCTCAAAACAAAACAAAAAAGCAAAACAAAACAAAAAAACCCACAAACAAACCCCACACCATTACTTTACAGCTGATACAAGTATAGGTAACAAAGGGTTCCACTTGCCTTCGCTTCCCATGGACCTGAGTCCCAGGGCACCACTGGGTAGATGGAGAGGCAGTGCCTGGGTCAACCCTGACCTCTAGTGGAGCCCCAGTGGGAACTGCATCTCACCTTTTTTATTTTTTTATTTTTTATTTTATTTTTGAGATAGAGTTTCACTCTTGTCTCCCAGGCTGGAGTGCAATGGCACGATCTCGGCTCACTGCAACCTCCGCCTCCCAGGTTCAAGCAATTCTCCTGGCTTAGCCTCCCGAGTAGCTGGAATTACAGGCGCCTGTCACCAAGCCCGGCTAATTTTTTGTATTTTTAGTAGAGACAGGGTTTCACTATGTTGGCCAGACTGGTCTCGAACTCCTGACCTCGTGATCCGCCGGCCTCAGCCTCCCAGTGTTGAGATTACAGGTGTGAGCCACCGTGCCTGGCCACAGCTCGCCTCTTCTAACCCCAAGTCTGGGGCTGGTGGTGGCCCTAGGTCAGGCAGAGATCATGCCTGTGGCACTGGTAAAGTGGGGGAAGGGCACCACCTGGCGGTCAAGGGTAGGCTCACAGTGAAGACTGCAGGGTGGGGGACATATGGGAGGGCTCGTCAAACAATATCAGTGATGGACAGGGACTCCATCATGTACTTTCTCGCTGAAGCAATGCTGGCGGGCCAGGAAGTCGGACTTACACCCCCACTTTATGGATGAGGAATGAAGCTCAGAGATGTTAATAACTCACCTATGTCACACAGCACTCCCAAGGGGTGGAAATGGAAGCCAAGCTTGAGAGGCTTCAAATGTCCCTCACTCACCCTGACCAAGGAATTAGAGACCCTTTAATCAAGATGAGCACAATGAAAGGGTTAAAGTCAGTGTGCTTCTGGAACTTAAGGAACCCATTTTGAACCCATTTTGAGTTAGGATGGGCCAGTTTCTTTTCAAACACACACACAAAGGCCTGTACTGACCTCTGAGGTCATGGGCTAAGGAAGCGAGCCCTCGCCATTATTTAAATAATTAAGGCATCAGTTAGTTCAGAGAGGATAGGATGGAGCTGGGTCTTGGACTTGACTTGGTGCGCTCCTGGCTGGCAGCAGGGTGCCTTTTCCCAAAAGGTGTTTTAAGTTGACACATAGATGAACATGTCTTATGCTAAAAGTTCTATTTTTGTTCTAATTAGCAACAGAAATAAGAACTAATACATTAAGCCTACGATATCATAGATATTATTGCTTAGGAGAAGGCTAATTTTAAAATCTTTTGAAAAAAATTGAAACAAAGATTTGATATACAGCAAAAGTGATGTGTGATGCTTGGATGACACCAGCTTAGGCCACTAATTTTTTTTTTTTTTTTTTTAAGGCAGAGTCTCATTCTGTCACCCAGGTTGGAGAACAGCAGCGTGATCTCGGCTCACTGCAACCTCCGCCTCCTGGGTTCAAGTGATTCTCTTGCCTCAGTCTCCTGAATAGCTGGGATTACAGGTGCGTGCCACCACACCTAGCTAATATTTGTGTTTTTTTAAGTAGAGACGGGGTTTCCCCATGTTGGCCAGGCTGGTCTCGAACTCCTGGCCTCAAGTGATCCACCTGCCTGGGCCTTCCGAAGTGCTGGGATTACAGGTGTGAGCCACCGTGCTTGGCAAGGCCACTACTTTTTAAGTGAGGACACTGGGAGGGGAGTGACTTGTCTGCGTCCCCAGTGACCTGGTGGCAGGAAAGGGTCAGGACCCCCTGACCCTGTGGGGTTGATGACAGGGGGTCGAGCAGTCTGGGGTTTATAAGGTCCTTAGAGGAACCCACGGACCACCCCATGGGGAGGGACCGGATGCTGGGGTTTGGGAACAGGGAGAGGGTGCAGGGGACATGAGGGAGAGGGAGGGAAAGGCATCTCCTCTTCTGTGCAATGACTGAAACGATTAACATGCTCCCTGGAAGGTTGCTGTGGTCACCGTAGGCATCCAGCCTTTCCATTCCCTTAAAGGCTCCCATTAAAAACACAGAACCGTGTTAACAAGGGCAAACAGCTTTTGTCTGTCTCTCTGCTCGATCCCAGCTCTGAAACACTTGTGGGTGGAGGGGCAAGAACGGGTAAAGAAAGGAGGGTGACAGCAGCTTAATTTTAGGGGTGGCTGGATGGTGGGTGAAACTTTTTAAAATCACTACTTGTAATTGGTATGAGGTTTAGGCTATAAATAATAATGATTAAATTTATCTTTAAAAAGTCAGGCAGATTAGAACACTTGGATAGGCTGGCATTCAATACAAACATTTCATATGAGGAACATTTTCTTTTTCAACTTAAACTCTGACTCCCATCTCCATGGCTTTCCAAGACATGCTGAGATAAAGAAGGACTTGGAGATCAACAACCAGGCTAATTGTAGTCACCAGTTCCATTAGCAATCAAGCACATTTTCATCTCTAAGGGACCAACGCTCGCATATCACCCTGTCACCTTACTCAATTGTCACAGCCCCTGTGGAGCTAGCAGAACGGATGCCCTGAGAGGTGGCACACGGAGGTGGCGTCCAGCCAGCATGTTGGCACTGGGGCACCGGCAGGCAGCAGCTCCAGACACCCTCCCCCCCGACACAAAGGCAAGCATCACCAGCCCCCCGCTTTCCCCATGCAGCCCCGCAGTCACCAAGCCGAGCTCAGGGAAATGGAAGAAGGAAGAAGAGACCATTCAAAGGGAGCAGAGAAGAAAAAGCTCTCAGTGAAGCCAGAGCTCGGGCCCTCTTCCCGCTGGCATTCATCGTCAGAGGAGTCTTCGGAGAGGAAGACCGCGTAGTGTCGTAAGGGCTTTACCAGGCTGGGGCAGAGGAAGACAAAAGAGAAGAGAACAGGCAGTTAGGGGCGCCCTTAGAACTTCATGTGCAGGCGAGAAGCAGGCCTCTGGGCTCCATGCCTGGCTCCCTGTGCCAGCCTGGGGTGGCAGCTCCCAGGAGAGGAAGCTTGTTCCAGATAGAAAAGAAACTAAATTTGCCATGTGTCCAGAGCCTTCAACTCATGACCCATCACATAGGACCTAGTAATCCCACTTCCATTTGGTTAACCCTCAAAGTTGGCAAAGAATCACGCCTGAAGATGGTCATCACTGGTGTTTATAATATTAAAACATGGAACAACCTACATTGTCAGCAACAACCAGCTGGCGCAGTGGCTGAATCTTGTCCTTCCACGAAACGCAATGTTTATGAAGACACATTTAAAGATCAGGATGCAGAACTGCAATCACACCGCATTCGCTGTCATCTGCTTATGGAAAAATTCATAGAAAAAAGACTGGAAAGGTACATGGCCAATGTCAATAACAGCCAGTGGCATCATGGGTGATTTCTTTCCCCCCTGCTTCTTTTTATTTTTCTGTGTCTTACACATTTTCTACAATGAGCATATCTACTCCAATAATCAGGAAGAAATAAAAAATAAAAAAGTTAAAGAAAAAATTGAGCCGTGCGGAAGAGCTCTCGCGAGAAGGCCCTTTTCTGATTAGCGGCTGCTCTCTGGAGTTTCCGTCAGATGCCTCTTCAGAGAGTCTTTTTCATCTGTGATGTGGAAATTAAATATTCATTGTTATAAAAAATGCATCTCCCTTGTCAGCCACCTGTGAGCTCTACCTCTATAAACACCAACACATACACAGCCTGGAGAAACTCCACGCCCGGCTCCCATGAATTATATACTGACCAGGGCCCACCGGAGGCCGTGTGCTCAGCAGGGGCGAGCTGGACTAGCAGACCTGGGTTCAAATCCCGGCCCTTGCGCTGGGGAGTAGGTGTCTCTGTGCATTCTACCAAGAGGCATTTTGAGCCTGCCCGGTGTGAGCAGACCCAGGGGTGTTCCACACCCCTGCCCCGTTCTGTGGGCTGGCTTGCTCTGAGGCAAGTGAAGTTTGGGGAGAATATGGGGTATGGAGGCTGGCATGGGCTACCTCCTCTCCCCTCACCCCCCAGCCAAAGCCATCTCCCTTTTCTGCTCTGTATGCTGGAATTCTTTGAGGTTTTATTTCAGGAGAGGGCAATGTGTCCAAAAAAAGGGCACGAGAACCACAGCTGGAGGGTGAGTCAGACAGTGGCTGCACAGGAGGACGGGGCGAGTGGCCTGTGCCTGCGCTTTGCTGCAATCCGCCAGGGCTGGTGCCCATCCCAGCACTTTCACATCAGAACCCTCACTTCCTCCCAGACGCTGGCCAGGCAGACTTTTGTCCTCGAACTGCAGTGGAGGTTGAGGCTCAGGAGGTGAAGCCAGTAGCCCAGGGTTATATAACAGGAGGCAGCGAGTCGCAGCGCTGGGCTCTTTTCTGCTCCCAGGCTGCCTTGCTGGCTGTCAGGGGCAAGACACAACTCAGCCCTTCCTGGACTAGGGAGGGCTCTGGTCCAGGGGGCATTTTCCCGCCTCAGTGAAGAGGCCAGGAAGACCTGACTTGCAGGAATCTCGGGGCCAGGGCACCTGGCTCCTGCCACTTTCACAGCAAAGAAGACAGAGCAGAAAGGCTACCCTCCATACAGCCACCAGAGTCTCTTTCAATCACAAACCCATACTTGTCACTCTCCTGCTAAAACCTACGAATCTGCCATTCTGAACTGTGATCTCGCTGCAGTTGGTGGTATGGTGAGTAAATAAATCTGTGGAGCAAAGGGTTAGGAATAATATGTTCAGACATATTATTTCAAAGTTGTTTCAAAGTTAGGGGGAGCCCATTCTCACTCTATAGCACTGACTGCTCTCCTGAGCAGACGAGGGGCGGAGGGTGGGCAGGCCGTGGGCTTCTGCCGCACTCTGGGGAGCTCGTGGGATGCACTGCTGAGCAGCCGTGCCAGGCCTGGGCTCCAAGCAGGGCAGTCTCCACGCTGTGTGTCAGCTCTGCCTACCTCTGCGGCCCTCTCCTGGCCTCCCCTGCACTTGGGCCATGCTTACCATCTCTGACCACACCGGCCCTGGATATCCCCCGTCCCTGTCACCTTTGCTTGGAGCACTGACTGCTCTTCGGTCTTGAAGACTCAGCTTAATGGGACTGCTGTGAAGCCCACTGGAGTCTAGGAGAGCTCTCTGGCTGTGCGTCTTAGCACTTCTTAGACACCATTAGCCTCTTGCCACTGTTTCTGAGTCGAGCTCCTGAAGGGCAGGGCCTGGCTTGTTCTCTTTCTCCCCACCTGGGGTACAGCATGAACGCCGTGGAAGTTTGTGAATGAATGAAAGCCAGCCTGCTGGGGGAACCCCCACTTTGCCATCTTCCTGGAGCTGCACCACACTGTCTGCTTTCCCCAGACTGTTCTGAGATGCTAAGACGTGAAGAATGGGACGATGTTTGAAGGTGAGGGTGCCAGGGAGGTAGGGGCAGGCAGAAAGTGTTTAAAACGATATCAACAAGCAGGCACTGTGCTTTATAGAGACCATTTCTACCCCTCACAAGAGTCTAACAAGACGGTGTCACCATACTGATTTTCTAGAGGATGAGGCCTTCAGGAGTGGACCCATCCATCTGTCCATCTGTGTACCCAAGCAACAGGCACTCTCAGCCTGCTTGCTGTGAGCAGACCCAGGCTAGCTGTGCACTGGGGTATCACTGGTGAAGAGGTAACCATGTGGCCAAGTGGAGAACGGGGACTGCAGCCCGGACAGTCCACTCCCAGGGTCCTCACTCTCCTGTGAGTGGGGCTCGGGTGAGATGCACACGAGGGGACACCAGCCCCTGCTCAGGCCAAATGGAGGGAGGCTCTCCAGTTGCCCTTGTGTCCACCTTGGTTGCCTTTCTGACATCTATCTAAGCACAGGCCCCCACCTCTGGCTCTGACAAGAGGGCACAGATCACAGCTTGACATGTTGGCACAACGCCACTCAACCTGCGAGGAATTTCCGGCTTCACCTAGGAGCGAGGAGCCTCCGTGCTGGACCACGCCCCGGCTTCGGTAGATCGGGCTGCCACTGTTCAGGCCAGTGTCACAATCCAGTGCTGCCCACGCGGCTGTGATGGTGGAGGGGGCTGGGGGCTCCCACACTGGTGTGACTGTGGCAGGCGGGGGAAGAGAAGGAACCGCAGTTTCCAGTTCACAGGCCACTTTCCTTCTCCAGTTGGATGTACTGACCGGGCCAGGCTGGTTGGACAATGGTTGTCACAGGAGACCCAGCTGTCTCCAGAATATACCACCCATCTCTTGAGAGTGGCAGGGCACACCCAGGTGAGAAATTTGTCATCTGATGTGGTCAGATCAGAGCTTTGTAAAGTCCAGGCCACATGGATGGCGATAACACCAGCAGTACTTACAAGCCTTGGGCAAAATGCTGTCCATACAATTTCTCATGAATTCTTTATTGCAACCCCATTTTGCAGACAAAGTAGCCAAGGCTCAGAGAGGGGGAGTCACTTGCCCGGGGTCACACAGCAGCTAAAGGTACAGCTGGGAACTGAATGTGGATTCCCCGACTTTCAACCACTACAGGATCTTACCTCTTCAGTTTCCTGGGTCGGAAACAACGAAATAAGAGATAGGGTGTTTCCTCTTCTACTTTTAATAAAAGGTGAGGTTTCAAAATAAACTTACTTAAATTCAGCTGCCCATGTTCTCCCATGAAACATACAGTCATATATTTGTCAGAGATAAAGGATGAACCATCGAAAACGTCCAGGCTTACATTTTTTATTAGCTTAAGGCAGAATATGAAAAAAAAAAAAAAAAAAAGCACCTTTTCCCTCATTAACCCAATTCAGCTATTCCCCTGCAGTCTGCCACCCACCACTTGCCTGGATTTTATTACACACAAAGAGCTATCTGTGAAAAGGCAGGTTGCAGCAAACTTGGCTGCCCAGCGAGGGCTGCCAGAGTCTTGGCGTGGAAGAAAGGCTGGCCGTCCGTCACGGATCAGACCCCATCGTCCCCCACGGCTGCTCCCGCCTCTGCCCACCTCGTCTCCGCGCGGAGTTCCCATGCAGATGACTTCCCGAACCCCTTCTAATGTTTGGTTTAACGTGTCGCTGGTTAGCGCGCGCGTGTGACAGTGGTGACAGGCGAGGCTGTTCCTTTTTAAATACCATGTCAGAGACACGGCGTCAGGAAGCGGGGACGTGCTCCATGCTCTCTGCCGCACCGGGATCGCACCGGCTTATTTTTTAATGAGGAAGATCTGCATCTCGGGAGTTTTTTTCATGTGTCACATCGCGTGGACAAATCAGCAGCACGTCACGCTGGCCCAAAATGAAATGCTGACAAATGTAGATATTTCAAATTTAATTGACATTTAAATGTACTTGAGAAAAGATGGGGAAAAATCAGCCAGGACTTGGTCTCCGGAGCTGGTGGAGGGGAGCTGGCGATCATTTTTGAAAGGATCACTTCACTCAGGCACAAAGGATCTTCATTTTGTAAATGTCTTGGCTACGCTGTGTCCCTCTGTCACGTGGCTCCAGTGGGCAGGTGCTGACGAGCAGGGACAGGTCCCACGGTGAGGCCGGGTCCTGCCTGTCTGGTGGGTGCCAGTCTAACTGTCCACTACCCTCCCCTTCCTAGCCAGGCTACCTTGGAAAAGTCACTGCACTTCCCTGAACCTAACTTTCTTGTTGTTTAATTTTCTATTTCCATAGGTTTTTGGGGAACAGGTGGTATTGGATACATGCGTAATTTCTTTAGCTGTGATTTATGAGATTTTGGTGCACCCATCACCTGAGCAGTATACACTGAACCCAATTTGTAATCTTTTATCCCTCACCCTCTTCCTACCCTTTCCCCACCGAGGCCCCAGAGTCCATTGCATCATTTTTATGCCTTTGCATCCTCATAGCTTAGCTTCCACTTATGAGAACATACGATGTTT